CAAGCACGAAGCTGAAAGCACCAGCCTGAAGATGGCGAGTGGGACCTCATCAAAACATTGCCAAGCTGCTCTCAATCTTACATGGGAAAAGACCCGAACATGCCAAGACCTGCATATGTACATATGTACGTATGTACACACACACACACACACACACACACACACACACACACATATATATCTTCCCATATATAAATAGATTTAGAAAACTGTTGAGGAAATTCCCCTTTAGGAGAATGAGTGCATACAGGGAGACGTATTTGAGAGTAGTGTTTGAATAATACACATACAGCACATAGATACACTGTACAGTAAATGTAGGTTTTTACTTCCAGAAACGTTAAGCAAAGTCCAAACAAACAATCCAAAATCATTCACAGGTAAACAGTCAGTTTCTCAATCCAGGGATAATTCAATAACAAAGTCCAGTGTCAAAAACAGTTCAGTATCAGACTTACATTAAATCCATGAATATCAGTCAATTAGGAAAAATGGAGGAACGGCAATACTTTCCAACAGAAGGAAACAGAGATACTCACTCAGACACACTCTCTTCTGAGACTAAGACTAAACAACCCAGGTTTCTGGCTCCATCTTATGGCTGTTTGAGAAACCACACCTAATTACAATTTTTCATTTTCTTAAAGATACAGTTTTAAAATGTTTATCCTGGTTTATATATTTCTAACCCAAATAGCTGTTAGGTGACTCATATTCCTAAGAAAAACAAAACAATTTTTTCCTTACCTCAGCAGCATCAGGACTTCCAAAAGATACAGTCCTAGCAGTAGAGGCAGCCTTGCAGAAGATATTCCTAGACCCGTTTATTTCATCTATTGTCATTCTTTGGTGTAGCATTCCTGATGAATGCTAAGCAGAATTTCACCTCATTTCTATGGTGCTCTTAAATAAATTTCAGAAGTAAATGTTGAGCATTATTTTCCATGCTCAACCTGGGCATCCTGTATCCAGAGAATGGATAGGGATTAATAGTTTTTTGGGAAATGGCATTTTTGCCAAACTATTTATTTGTCATTCCAGATCTGGGGAGATCTTTTCTTTCTTTGTTTTCCTGCCATAGCCTTCTCCCCTTTTGGAACTCCTTTAAGCAAATGGAACATTGGAACTCTTTTATTATTGCATTTTTATTATACTATCCCACCCTCAAGTCTATCCAGTTCAATTCTCATTTGTTCAAAACACTGATGTACATAAAAGGAGGTTTGACTCATATTCATATAGGCTCAAAAGTTACCTATTTCTTCCCATTTGGCGAAGCTCTTCGTGTTGCTCCCAAGCCAATGTGACGGAAGCCTTGATCTCTTAGTAGTTATGACCTAACAAGCCACTGTAAGAATTATCAAGATAATATGCATGGAATCAGCAGTGGGATCCATCTGTTCCACTAATGGTTCGGTAATCACACACGTGTGCACGCACACCTAATGCGCCCGCACCTAACACTTTCCCCGCACCAGCTGGGACTTGCAGCGCCAGTCAGCTGAGAGGATAAAGAAGAGAAAAGCACAGGGGAAGGTGGGAGGGCCAATCCTGCTTTTTTCTTTCAGCTGATTGTCAGAGGATTATTTTTTTAGTACCGGTAGCATATCACCACTGCATGGAATGCCTCGAATTCTGTAATTCTCTTGCTTTTGTTTATACAACATTCCAGGAATATTGCTCACTAAAATGTTTTTGTCCTTGCCTTTAGGTTAGAGTGTTGAAATGAGAAAAATTAGGCTGTGCTTTATATTACCAATGGAATCTTGATGCTACAGGCTTTTTAAGAAGCTACCCAGATAAAGAAGCCTCAGGTTAAAGAGGTCCCAAGTTACTTATTCCACTTATTTTGAAATGCTGTAGTAGACTGAGCCCTTCGGACATCAACATCTGTGAGATCGTTCTTTCTTTTTAGTTGAAAGTGGCCTTCACTAAGAAATTAGTAGTTGTGTAGTTTCTTTAGCTAATTAGCACTTATTAAGGATTTGAGATTGATCCCCATAGGACATGGCTCGGTTTTGATATCACACAGTCACAGGTTCTTCCTTATATTCCAGTTAGTTCAGTCTTTCATTCTTCATTTTTCTTACTCCATTGGATTAAAATTATGTTCTTGTCACGTCATTAACCATTTCTTCTGCTTATTAAGATGAGCTTTTCAACTTTAATCACACTGACAATCAAACTCATCCATTGTAGGTGCGCATGTATGTAGATTGATGTATACCGTGCCATATTTTTCTTTTCCACCTGGTAGAACATTATCAAACCTATTTGTGTATATTCCCTCCTCAAAACATATTCATCAATATTAAATATGCTGAATTGATTGAAGTTGGGTGCCTTCTTTAATTAGATCTAATTCATCTAAATTACACGTCCTCAGGGTATATCTTAATTCCTTATAATGCTGGACTAACAAAAAAAGATTTCTTATACAGGTTGGGTAAAAGTGCAAACAAGTAAATAAATCTATCACTATTTTGTGTTTATTGGCCTTCTCTGAGTATGTGTTTCTCTTTCAGCCAAGAGGGATTACTTACTTAGGACATTTAAGGCAATTACAGCAGGCTCTGTCTTATCTGTAAGCCCACAACTTTTCTTTACATTCAATGAATTTTGTCAATTGAGGCAGGGAGGACATAGAGTATTCTTCATTGTGGTATATATCTCTTTATATAAAAGCAAAATACCACTCACGCATCATCACAAAATCTCCAGAACTGTAAAGCTTACAAACTTGAAATTTGGCACCTATGTTCCTCTTGGTTTCTAGGTGCTCACTAAGAAATGATTTTTCAAAAATGACCATCAGAACATTAGTACTTTGTACATTATTATTAACATGCTCTGATGCTAAGGAGTTCTACTCCCCCTCCCCACCTGAAAAGAAATCTGTTCCAAATGCAAAACACAGAGGAGAGGAGTTTCAGTTTTAGTTTCACAGCACCAAGCAGCTTTAGTACAGAACAGTTGAGCTAAGCCACACCCAGGCGCCTTGCTGTCTCCTTCTTGCTCACACAGCAAATACTATCTCACTTTCCAAACAGCCCTCAACTGTCTCACATACTGACAGGATGCTAGCCAAATGAATACCGATGGATGCTGGTAGGCAGAGGCACAATTTCTTCCCCTCATTTTCCTCCCCCAAAACTAAGCCTGATCACATAGTTTCATAGTGAAGCATGGGTATAGAGCTAGTAGGTTAAAAAAACAGTTGGGCATACTGCAGGATATATTTCCCTTCTCACAAGGCATGGGCATTGCCCATGATACTGGCCGCCACCTCATTCACTTCCATTCTACTAATCCTATATCTCAGAGAAGAACAAGCAGAACCAAATTAGAACAGAGTTGAGGCTTTGGTGAACTTTTTCAATTAGTTGGATAACATCAGAGGATCTTTGGGCATCCTCCATTCCTTTGGGCCTTTTAGAATTGTATGACATTTAATGTAGACATTCTAGAGTCATATACAGTGCGGAGAGTCCAATGATTGTGGTGGGATAAAAGTCTATGAAACAAAGAGATAATAAACAAAGAGATGCATGAAGATTTTTACTGGACGATGCCGCAGCCCTTTTCAGGTGTTTTGCTAATAAACTGATCCAAACCTGTGAATGCTGTTGTTAAGTGCTGGCTGAGAATTATGGGTATTGAAGTGCAATAGTTCAGGAGAGTGCAAGGTTGGGGAATGACTACTCTTAAGAGAGCAAAGGGAACTGTCCAAACTAAGGACAGTGGCTTCACAGGTAAGAAAGATAACTAAGGTAAGCACCCAACTGCTTCTAATGAAATAGAGAGGCTGAAGACTCAAAAGCGAAATCCTATTAGCATGAAGGCAGTTCAAACAGGGAATCCACTGAGTGTGAAAATAACCAGAGATAGATTCCTAGAGGCTCTCGGGATTAGGCAGTTTGTTTTTTTCTGATTATCATATCAAAGTGCAACAAATAACTTCATTCTAGGTGATATTATGAAGGGATTTTGGGGGGTGGGTGGGGTGGAAACCACTGCTTCCCAGTTCTAAACCTAAGAAAAGAATTTCAAGGTTAGGATCCAAGCTTCGACCTGCTGCATAGCCATAAATCTCTCTCTAAATTCAGCTGGCACTCAGTGAAGCCAGCAGTAGAAGAGTCAAGGATGAGGCTCAGCCGGATAAGTTATTGTTATTGCCTTTACACGATATAGCCATAACAAAGAATATCCATTACTGCACTGTACAGCCATCCAAGCTCAGCATTTAAATTTCACATCCCTTGCGCTTGCTCTCTAATTTGGTAACAGATTTTGCTCCTTATTTGACAGCCTTAAAAGTGGAGGCCAGTTCATTTTGATAATGGTCCTGTCAGGTCTCTGGCTGTTTGTTTCCATCCTTGGTGACTCTAGCCCTCCCATGTAGTCCTCCTTTTTCTTTAAAAATGTATGTTTCTTTATGTTCCTATGAAGAAGCCCAGCAGACTCATTCCAAATAAATAAATCTTAACCTGTAAATTTATCTTTTCAGTTTTAACAGCAATTTAGATAACAACATATTAAAATCATTTTAGTACTATGGATCTTTCATCTTCCTTGCTCAACCCCCAAAGTGGGTGACTGAATGTTTGGATAGTTCCTTTAAACCTTTAGACTATTCTGCTGGAATCTGTGCTTATATTTTACCCTGTCACCATGGCTTATAATTGGAGGGAGCATATACCATGTCTCCTCCCCCAGGACAGCAGAACTGATTAAAAGGATGAGAGTGACTAGCAAAAATGCTATTCAAACAGAACCCCTTTGAGACTCCGTGAAGACAATAATCCACCCAGGAACACATTGTGCAAATGTTATTGCACAAAACATTGTTTCGTTCCCGCCACCTACAGAGGCAAAACAATGGGTTTTAGGTGGGGGGAAAGAGAGAAAGAAAGAGACCCTGAGGTTTGCTTAAATATTGGATTTCTGTTTTTCCCCTCATCATATTAAGGAAAGCTTTTGTGTCTTTTACTCCCCTGTAGGTTTCAAATCCAAAGGTGTGACTGAACTTATCAAAGAAATCGTAAAAGAGCAGTTTAAAGCCTTCCAAAGTGACATGCAAGAGACGGTGGCTCAGATTTTCAAGATCACATCTGATCTCTCTGAAGATCTTGAGAATACCAAGGGCTTGGTCAAAGGTTTGAATAAATCCTGCCAGAGATTTGCCCTTGATATTGAAACTAGACCTACAAGAGCAGAAGTAATAGACATTCGAACCCAGATCTTGCATATTGAAGAAGATATAAGTTTTACATGTGAGAGGCCCATAAAAGAACTGCAAGAAAAGCAGAGATCTTTGGAAGCTGATTTAGAACATCAAAGCTCCAAGAGTGAGATTTACTATGGTTCTCTGAACAAAACTCTTACACAGATGAAAGAAGCACATGAACAACTATTATCAGTGGAACAAAGCTCAGTCCAGAATCTACCCGTAGCTGCTGAATCAGTGAATGATAACCTTACAAATTTCGTGACAAATTTACAGGAGAAAATGAAAACCCAGAATCTGATGGTTTTGCAGCTGTACGATGATCTCAGAATCCAAGATAACAAGATCAATAATCTTACCATCTCATTAGAAATCCAGAGAGATGACCTACAAGGTAGATGTGACAATGTATTGTCCAAATGCAGAAGTGACATCCAAATGCAAATAAGCGTTGTGAAAGGAGACATTCGTTCCTTAAATAAAACTGTGGAGAGCCTTGTATTTCCCTTGGATGATAAGATGGAGAAAATGAATGAGCAGATTAATGACCTCTGCTATGATATGGAGATTCTCCAGCCCTTGATTGAGCAAGGAGTTCCTTTCAGCCTTTCCTCAGAGGATGAGTTGCGGCTCGAAACAGATACTATTAGCAGAAAACTGGAGAATTTAACCAGCCTTGTGACAACGCTGAACTTCACCATTGAGGAACTCCACAAAAATCAGAAGGAACTTAAAAATGATGCTCAGGCTCATGATGAAATTTCTAAGAGGCGTATCGATGAATGCTTTGTTTTGATGGAGGATGGATTAAACAAAACCATGATGGTCATCAACAGTGCTGTTGATTCCATCCAAGATAACTATGTACTCAAAGAAACCCTGGATACCTGGAAAAATGAGACCGAAGCTTGCTGTGATCGTGGGGAGAAGATGGAAAATGTGTTGACCTTAATACCACAATTTCAAAAGATGAATGAATCCCTTCAGATACTAGTCAACCAAAATGAGAAACCAAAAAGAATTTGGCCCCTTGTAGAATCTTCATTTGGTGAACAGAACATCCATCCCCTCAGCAGAGGTCACCCTAACCCAAACACCACATTATTAAATGCTCAAAAGCACAGCAGAGACACTGGTCACTCGGATGAGAAAATATGGCTCTCCAGCAATGAATACAATGATCATGAAATACGTCTGCAGGCCGTGGAGGGAAAAATCATCAAATTCTTGGCAAACAATTGTGTCTCCGTAAGAAACGTGAAAGCAGCTGCCACAGAAAATGAGAAAACCATCTCTGCCCAGCTTCAGACCTTCAATTCCAGAATCAGGGCTCTTGAAGCCAAAAGCATCCGCTTATCACTGAGCATCCCTCTCATAAACAAGACAGCCAATGAAGCAAGGAACTTGTGTCAGGATGTCTCTGGAACCGTTAGAAAAATGAATGCCAGCCTTCCCAAACCCTTTCACTCGGGTGGCATATTGTTTCAGAAGGGCTATCAAGAGCTCACTGGTGCCATGATAGAGGCCAAAACAGAAGCACTTCTAGCCAACCTAACCTTGTATGTAGACAAGTCCCTAGAAGGGGCAGTAGACACCATAACCAAACGGTTAAAGGCAGCTGCTACTCTTCCAAAGAAGCCATTGCCAGGGAAAAAGATGCCCGCGAACACCATTGCAAATCAGCCTGGGAGAAGTCAGAGAAATACTGATTCTGCTTTAGAAACAGGTAAGGTCATTTATTGTTACCACCAGTGGTGGGATTCAATTTTTTTAACTACCAGTTTTGTGGATGTGGCTTGGAAACCTCCATTCCCTCCCCACCCCACTAACCCGCTTTCCAGCTCCGTTCTCCTGTGCAGGGCAACAAAAGGAGACCCAGCCAATCAGCTGGGACTCCAGAGGCAGAGAATAGATGGGGGCAGGGCCAGTCAGAGGTGGGATTTGCCAGGTCTCCAAACTACTCAATATTTCTGCTACTGGTTCTCCAGAACTGGTCAAAACCTGCTAAATACCACCTCTGATTGCCACTCTTATTGGTGTCACCTGGAATGTTGTTTGATAGATGTGTTTCCTTTATTCACAATGGGTAAATGCAATAGGAGTTAAGTGCTTTCTTTTTTGTGTGTGTGTAAAAATCTGCTTATTTTTATGGGAAAATGAGATTCTGTATATGAGCAGATTGTGTATTTATGTCCTTTAAAAAAAGCCCATGGCACCAAGTATGAATTTCAACTGAACATCAAAATATTTAGCAGGGATCTCTTTTGCCTTACTGACTACTAGGTTCAAATGTTGGATTAAGTCATAAATTGTTTGTATATGTTTTACTGAATTGGCTGGGTTTACATTATATCCCTTGCCAAAATTCAAACAAACCACCTTACGGTTATCACAAGCTTTGTGGGTTCACATATCTGAACGCAGCTGCTATGTAGTATATTATTTTTTCTCGAACCAAAGCTATTGGAATTACATTTTCTAAAACTCCCAAGCTGTGACATTATAAATTCTGGTAAATAAATAGGGCAATAGGTTTTGAAATAGAAATACAGAACTCATAAAATAATAATTAAAAAATTAGATGCTGGAGCAAGCAAATGCATTAGCAACAGGGACATTTTCTATGAGATAGCTTTCTCAAATCTGGTCCTCTTCATATTTGTTGAGACTGCAACTCTGAAACCCCCTGAACCAATCTGACAAATAACCATATTAACTAAGGATTCTGAGGAAGGGTTATTATATGCTATTTTCAGCCACTTGTGTTGGAAGGTTTTCCACGTGTTTATTAAGCATGTCCTGTGTCTGCAGACTTTAATCTTCCTGATCTGAGGAGAATTGTTGGGCTAAGGCAGGGGTGGGAAACTCTGGCCCTTTTATGACTTGTGGACTTCAACTCCCAGAATTCCTAAGCAGCTGGCTCAAGAATTCTGGGAGTTGAAGTCCACAAGTCATAAAAGGGCCAGAGTTCCCCACTTCTGGGCTAAGGGCTTGTTCAACAATCATGTGACCTTCCTGAGCTTCTCAAGAATATTTGCTTCGCTCTAAAACTGACCTAAAATTATATTAGTCCTCACTTTATGAGCACAATTGAGTCCAAAATGTAAGTTGCTAAGTGAGACATGTGTTAAGTGAATTTTGCCCCATTTACAACCTTTTTTTACCACAGTATTTAAGTGAATCACTGCAGTTGTTAAGTTAGTAACATGGTTGTTAAAGGAATCTGGATTCCCCTTTCACTTTGCTTGTCAAAAGATTGCAACAGGTGATTGCATGATTCCGAGATGCTGCAACTGTCATAAATATGAGTCAGGACAAATGCCTGAATTTTAAGCATGTGATCTTGGGATGCTATAATGGTTGTAAGTGGGGAAAATAGTTATAAGTAACTTTTTCAGTGCTGTTTTAACTTCAAATGGTCACTAAATGAACTGTTGTAAGTCGAGGACCACTTGTGTCAGACAGTATGGATAAAAGTAATTTAAAAATCAACCAAAACAAAAGAGATGAGAATAGAATCATGGAACTATAAGGTGAAGCTAAACAGTTCCATCTGAATGAGCTCCTGACGACCATAATGTTGTCTTCTTAGCAATTGTATGGAAATGATCTGTGGTGATCAATCTAACAATGGGCCACCATAATACAATTTAGAACTTATGAGAAAAAAGAGCAGTAACTTCCTGAAGATAAGACTGGAGTTAGTAGAAAATAGCAGTAGCACTTAGACTTATATACTGCTTCACGCGGCTTTACAGCCCTGTCTAAGTGCGTCATGGTGGCACAGTGGTTAGAGTGCAGTACTGCAGGCTACTTCTGCTGCCTGCTAGTTGCCCAAGGTTGACTCAGCCTTCCATCCTTCCGAGGTTGTGAACTGAGGACCCAGATTGTTGGGGGCAATACGCTGACTCTGTAAACCACTTAGAGAGGATTGTAAAGCACTGTGAAGCGATATGTAAGTCTAAGTGCTATTGCTATTGCTAAGTGGTTTACAGAGTCAGCATATCCACCTCAGAAGGATGGAAGGCTGAGTCAATCTTGAGCCTGGTGAGATTTGAACTGCCAAATTGCAGGCAGCCAGCAGTCAGCACAAGTAGCCTACAGTACTGCATTCAAACCACTGTGCCACCACAGCTCTTCAAGTAGTAGTAGAGTATATAGTAGACTATAAACATAGCATAATGTCCCAAGTTTTCTTTGCAAGGAAGTCAGCATTGTTCCTGAGGAGTCAGTTGAATAATGACTATAGAACTGAGACTCCATTCAGGTGTGGCAAATGCTTTATAAAGTCCCCTGGCAAATAATAATATAAGCCGGCTATTGGATTTCTTCAAAGAGAAGACACATATTCTTTTAAATTATCTTTTTTAAAAATGGATTTGAAAAACAGAATTATTTGCATGCACAGTAGGGTGCATTGGTGAACAGCAGAGCACTCATTCTTTTTTGTGCATTGTTGTCTACATTTAATAATTTAAATTTTAAATATTAAATTTTAATAAATTTATGGCATATTAAATAAATCAATCAATTTCCATTCCTTTCATCTCAGAGCGCTGTTCAGAGAATACCTAAGTGTTGCAGTTTTTTCTGACAATTGAGCACACATAAACTTTAAATTGGATTTGGGCTTCGACAATATTCAACTCGATTTCATATCTTAGCTGCTTAATTCCCTGGAAGCATTTTTATGCAGTAGTAGAAGTCAGCAGTTGTATTAATGAAGTACAGCAGCTCATTTTGGCAAACTTTCTCCCATCTTTCCATGAAGGCAGTTCATGAAGAAACAGCAGGTATACAGTATGACAAAGATGATTCCAAAGAGATTAGGAGAAGGGGATGGATTAAACAGATGAAGTTCTATCAAACCATTCTTCTAGCTACCCTAATATTACTTGTGTAATTTTGGAAAACTCATTTATTTATTTATTTTACTTATTTTTATTTATTTATTTTTGTCAATTGCTTACAAGATAATAGGTATAAGTAAAAACATAGTTATGAATACATGGATACACATAAGAAAAATAAAAAAAAATAAAAGAAACAATAGGACAGGGATGGTAGGCATGTTGGTGCGCTTATGCACACCCCCTACAGACCTCTTAGGAAAGGGGTGAGGTCAATAGTAGACAGTCTAAGGTTAAAGTTTTTGGGGTTTGGGGAAGAAACCACAGAGTCAGGTGGAGTATTCCAGACATTGACCACTCTGTTGCTGAAGTCGTATTTCCTCCAATTAAGTTTGGTGCGATTAACCTTGAGTTTGTATCTATTGTTTGCTCTTGCATTGTTATGGTTGAAGCTGAAGTATTCATTGACGGGTAGGACATTGCAATGTATGATTTTATATACTATACTTAGATCGGACTGAAAGCGGCATAATTCTAGGTTTTCTAGGTCTAGAATTTCAAGTCTGGTAGCATAAGATATTTTGGAATGAGTAGAGGAGTGGAGAACTCTTCTTGTGAAATATTTCTGGACTTTCTCAACTCTGTTAATATCAAATACGTAATGTGGGTTCCAGACTGATGTGCTGTATTCGAGTATTGGTTGAACAAATGTTTTGTATGCTCTAGTTATTAGTGTAATATTACCAGAGAAAAAGCTACGTAAGATTAGGTTAACAACTCTTAATGCCTTTTTGGCTATGTAGTTACAGTGGGCTCTAGCACTTAGGTCATTAGAGATGAGTACTCCAAGATCCTTGACAGAGTTTGGATCATCAACAAGGTCTTGACTCTTCAGCCTGTATTTTATTTTCTGAATTTTTTTTGCCAATATGTAGGACAGAGCATTTATTTTGTGAGATTTGAAGTTGCCATGTATTTGACCATTCTGATACATAGTCAAGGTCTTTTTGAAGGGTAGCAGTATTGTCTGTGGTATTGAATAGCTTTACATTGTCAGTGAAGAGAACGCAGTTGCTCTTGATATGATCACAGAGGTCATTTATGTAGAATATGAAAAGAGTTGGTCCTAGAACACTGCTCCCTTCAGATTGATTTTACCCAGTACACTAATTTCCCGGTAAACAAACTTTTGGCGGTCATTTTTGTTGTGGAATAAAACACCTCACAATCTTGGATAATGAAACTCTACATCAAGGGTGTCAAACTGGATTTCTTTGAGGGCTGGATCAGCATTGTAGTTCTCCTCTGTGGGCCAGCTGGGGGGTTGGTGGGGTGGGAGGGAGAAGAGATGGGACGAATGCCTCCTGCAGCACCCAGCTAGCCAAAATGGAGTGTGAGGGGCTGTTTGCAGCCCCACCCCCGTCTTTAGCCAAAAGAGAGCTGCAGGAGCTCCATCCAGGCCAAAAGCAGGGCACGGAGGCACAGCATGCAGCCCCCCATGTCCTGTTTTCGCTAGCAGAGGCATGAGGGCTGGTCCTTTGCTATTTCCGGCCAGCCCTATGGGCCTGATTTAAGTACCCCATGGGCTGGATCCGGCCCATGGGCCTTGAGTTTGACACCCCTGCTCAACATTATATGAACAAATCTGGACCTTCTCCCATTGATGATTTATGCTTATTGGGAAGGTCACTCTAGAATTTTTTTTTCATTCACCCAAGAGATATGGATCTGAAAGCAAAGAAGCCAAGGAAGTTATTTTCTATAGGGTGCCTCCAAATGACTTATAGAAAGAGATAACCAAGTTATTTATAGAAAAGCCCACAAGATTATGTTTGTTATACTGCTGGAAAGAAGACAATCAGTGGTGCTGTTCTAC